TCTTGAACAACCAAAGCGTTACTCTTCGTACACATTTTGTAGATAAGATTCAGGAAGAACAAGTAGTTCATTCTTTTGGCTGCGCATTTAGCGATTTCTCTGTGGATGAGCTGGCCGACATCGATGCTCATACCCTTCATCAAGCATGTTAGGAGCAGTACCCTTTCCTTTGTTACGGATGAATCATGCATTGTGGGCATGATTCGGCTCTTCAAGAAATAGAGCCGTGTATTGACTTCAAGTGTGAAGGAACTGGCTTCTTGTTGTGATGCTTCAGGATGCTCCTAGATGAGTGACAATCGTCAACACATGAGCAAATTACTCTTCAGTAGGGCACTCGAGCATCTGGTTGAACTCTGCAGCATGGTTGGAGGGAAAATAGAGGGCTTTGTTGATCTTTTATGGGCTCCAGTCTACTTCGATCTCCCTTACTACCGTTTTCCCAATGTTGTCGACATTGAGGTTGGCATAGAATTCCTTCACTAGTCTTGGGAGCAAGGGCCCAGGTGGGGCGTAGAAGTATGCCCAGCCATTGTTGTCGATAACGCTCTAGATGAACGGGGGCATAGGTCCACCTGGAAACCTTTTTTGACAAAAAAGTCCCGCTTTCTTAATCGTTCATACGCCTCAACGGCTTTTGGAGAATGGAATCTCGTTGATCATCTGAAGCTCCTCGACCCTACGAGCCTAGTATCAAGCATTTGGAGCAAAAATACTCCCGCATTTTGGCCATTTTGAAACTTGTGAATTCCTTCCAGTAATATTTGGAGATGCTGCCCCTTCAATTCTAGACGATCTGAAGGCTAATCTTCATTCTTCTCACCAACCCGTCTTTTCTGATGATAACTAGGGGAGTCCCCTTCTACCCTTTTATTTCTCGCTTTTAGTTCTTCTTGTTGAACATGTTTGGATAGTTTATCTTTCTTTTGTGTTAGCGTTGTTCTTTTGTTTAGATAATTTTTGTTTTTAGCTGAGATGCATATTTGCTTTTGTAAGCATAAAATGTTTTGCTGCCATGTGAAACCAGTAAATTATTTCAAACTTTGTTCTTCATTTCAACGAAAAATAGTTATTTGCAAATTAAGAGGAAAAAAAGCAAAAGAAAAAATCAAATCTAGTAAAAGAGTCCTTGCTTGCTTGTGAGAAAATAGGAAAAGATAAATAAGTGAGAGAAAGATAAGAATTGTAAAAAATAGAGCGGCAAGAAAATGCCATTAAATAATTGCAAGTCTCACTATATACACTCATGTAGTTTAGATTGAGGGGAAAAAGCAGCTTTGAAGTAATAGCTGCACATAGTGTAACCTCATGACATCCACTATAGATATGTTATGGATAAGCTATTCTCTTAGGACCTCTAGATGTGGCTGTGGTGGAACGTCGATAATAGTGTGCTAGAAACCTCCAGGGCTAGTAACCAAATCCTCGTGCCTTTACGATGCAAACTTTTTTAAACAAAAAGAAACTGTTCAAATTCCTTAATATCGTAACAAGTTTTTGGATTTAGAAATATGTTTATTTTCAAAACAAGAATGGATTATGATAACTTGGCTTGAGATTAGGAATAGGAAAGTTTAGCTTTTGACGTCTTAGTACATTGTATGTTGGAATTGAATTTGTTGTTTTTGCTAAAAAGCAAATACCTTAGTTTGAGGTGTGATTGCTTATCAAGGTTAGGTTCAAAGGTGGTTTTTTATGCATGATGCTTTTCTTCCCATTAGTTAGAATAATTTGATTGCACGTTGTTAAAAGTTGGTTAGACCATATTGTTATTGCATGTAAAAGATGTTGGAACACTCAGTAGAAACTTATGATTTTTCAAATTGCAAGTAAAACATCTAATACTTTTTTTCTTTTAATGACACGCATGTTTTGATGCAAAGGGCACATAAGACATTTTCAAAGTCAGCTCCCCCACTCAATTCGGCGCTATTAGGGTCAGAATTTGCTTCACTCCACTCCTATTTTGGTGGCAAGTTGCAACTACCTCCATGCCTAAAAATTGAAGAGCTTCCTCAGTAAAAATCATCTCATCTTTACTACCTTTTATGATTTTTCAAAGTCCTCATTCTTAGTTAGAAACTAGCTTGTTCTTGTTTCTTTATAGTTTTATGTTTTTCAAACCTTTGGTTTATTCGCAATTCAATTGTTAACTTTGTTTAAATTCATTTCAACTTCAAATTCTTTTATACTTCATTCTTGTTTTCATTTTTAAACGCTTTCTAGCTAGTTTTAACTTCATTCAAGCTTGAAAGAGAAGGTTAAGCTATCACTCGTACTTTTGTTAAACTTCAATTTCATTCAATGGCAAGAATTTCTTTTATGTCTGAGTAATTTCCACACTTTTATTATGAACTAAATTAGCTTTCAACCTCTCTATGAAATGCCTCAGAAAAATTTGTTAAATTTAACATGGGAGAAAAAGTCCAAGCGCTGCATTAACTCCTCAACATACTTTTTCAAGCAATTTCTTAAGTTGGCCGCTAAGGAGTTTTACTAAAATGAAGTCTAATACTTAAAGGGTTTGGTTAAGTGATTAATAGGAAGATAATATGAGATGTAATTTAGACATAGACACAAAAGATGACCCTAGACATAGATTCTCTGACCCATAAATGACCCATAAAAGAAGATGAGTTTGTAGTAATCACACCTAGACATATGACTAGTGGTTACCTTAGGCATTGAAACAACCAAAAGCACAATTTCCCTGTAGGAAGTAGAGAGGTTCTTTTCCCTGTATTACTTATGGCCATAGGTGCTTGCACACAACCTTTTTTCGTTTAAGGTAGAGGAATCTCATCAAGTAGCAATTTTCAAGAAAAGATTAATTTGCTCCATACCTAAGTCATGTATTATTGTTTGGCAACACTTGGATTAATTTAAAGAAAGGAACAATTTTGAACAAAAACACGAACCCAAACCAGAATGAACAAATTTTAAATCAGACCAATCGATTGGAGAACCGAACCAATTACTCACCCAACCAAATTTGGAATAAGGAAAAAAGTGATGTTTCACGAAAATTGAATTTTCAACGATGTGGACAGCAAGAGCTCCAACAGAAGTGAAATCAACTTGCACAACGAAATGGACACAATGACGACGATGAATCCAATGGAGGTTCCCAAGAACAAATCACGAGTATTTGAAGTTCTCAGGCACCAAACAGCAAACGGACAGAAATGGTGTGAGCGTACGTACGGATATAGAATCGTAGGCAAGGGATGTTTCATGAACACAATAGAAGGTCCTCACTTCAAAAATAAAGATACACGTTGAAAGTAGGGTGCATTGATCAAAGGTGCAGTTAGAGTTTGCAGAGGAAGCAAGGATATCCTTGCTATAATACCATCTTAAATTTGATAGAATAAAAATATTCTACTATTTACAAATGTGTAACCTAAATTTTCTTATAAAGTAGAAAAACTTATTAAAGGAAATAGGAGAAAGACCTACTATGATACAGAAAGAATTAAAGACCATAGATCAATATTTACACAAATAACTATAAATATAGAAAATTCCAACATCCAACGTGTGGCATCATGTGGAAAGGCCACGTAGACTAAATGCAATCCATGACGTATGATCAGGCCATAATTGCCAATCGATTGTACACTAGGTCAACCCGATGTGACTAATCTAATACATGACCTATCTCTACCATTTAGACTAGATGTGACTAATCTAGTGAACCACATAGTATGTCATGGCAAACACGTCTCTAGACTTGGTTAGAGCACATTGTCGCAAAAATATGTCGCGGGAAAAAATATAGTAATAATGCAATCATATGGTGATTTCTTATGTATAGCCAAGTATATGGTTCAACTTCCATTTTCCTTTCAAGAATGTTTGAACAAGTTGAAACCACTTGAGATAATTTTTTCCATCCAACCTATAACTCAAAAGTCCCCTTCTATAGCCATAGTTTTGTTAGTTTCATCCATAAGAGCTTTTTTGGTGATTTTGGTGGTGTCCGAAATTGATGTCTATTAGAAGACAAGACCGAAACATACCAAACAGAAATCTCACCAAAAAATCATAAGGAGAGACCACATTACTGATTACAACCAAGAAACTTTGCTCACAAGTCAAATTGAAGTAATCATTGATGCCCAGACACGATTCTTCATTAAGAACTTGTTAACCAACGATGATCAGTTTTGGACACCACCAAAATCAATCTCAGACCAATCGTAGCTAGGGTTGATCAATGATGATCAGGTACGAAATTGATCAATAATGAAGGTGAATCAAAAGAAACATCAAGTCTTTGGTGCCATCTCAATGATAAGAATAAAATTCTTTCTTACATTTGAGGATGGATAGAAGGCTAGTCTAAATAGCAATTTAGTGAGAAAACAAATTTAGAAGGAAATAGCATACAAGTAAACAATTATCAACTAAGTGCTAATGAAATATAGACGTGAAATATAATTTGACAAAAACTATACACATATTTCGCACACTATTTGAGAACATCATTTCTTGGTGAGATATAGAGATTAGAGATGATAGATAATGGCTTTCTCAATAACAGAAGGCTACACTAGGAGACATCAAACATTTCCCTCACCACCCTGACAGCAAAACTAGGGACAGTGTATACAACACATTGAACTATAACTGTCCTTTTGGTTCAAGTTTTTTCCAAAGTTAAAACAAAAAAAAAATGACAATCATTTCTGTTCTATCCATCTGGGTGATTTGATCAGGTGATTGGCTCAGTTCAACTGGTTCTAAAAATTTTGGCTTTGGGGTTGGTTTTAGCCTAGCTATAAATCTAGTAAATGTAATGCAAACCCTTTCACAACCCAAGAATGATCAAGAGAATCATCAGTCATCTTTTCATTAGCACAAAGGCTCCATATAGATGAAATGAGACCAGCAGTGAGAGAATTAGTGAGAGGAAATGGAAAACGCATAGCAAGATGAAAGTGAAATAACATGCACAAAAATCCAGAAACGGTAAAATCAAGTGAAGACAAATACCATTATTCAGAAGGCATGAGGCACAAGAAGATACTTAAACTGAGATGGCTGAATAAATATTTTCTGTAAGAGCAAAATAATTTTTTGATAATATATGTGAAATAAACCTGATATGAGAATGATAAAAATCTGTGGCTAAACATTCTAAATATTGACAACATGACAACATCATTCGGGAAGGCATTGGAGGTCAAACTACAGGCATAACTCACTTTGGGGTTTTGGGAAAATGTAATTTAATCAGTGCAGGAAGTTCGGCAAGCTCAACCTTGGGCTTCCCTAGCAATATACTCTTTAACTTCTCATCACAAATGACCACATTCTTGTTGCCCGGATCCTAGACAAGAAAGGTACACATCCATAACCATTAATCAGAATGGAGAAAGCCACTTACGGGTCAGCAGAAAACATATTTATAACATTTAGAAAACAACTGCTACTTCGTTAAAGTTTCAAAAACTTCTAGCTTCCCGAAATCGTATTATATGGCAGTGCAACAGTCTCAATGTGCACTGCAAACTGGTGCAATAAACAACATTGATTTTGCAAGCAACATCAAGCACATCCATATTTCGAGACAAGGGATGGATAAAGGTTTAGTAGAAGTCTTTGTTGGGAGGGATAGAGTTCATCTATCTTAAACATTAATGGTTTGTATGAGCTTAATAAGACTATAGGTTTTTTAAATCATTTCTGGTCCTGAAATGAGGAAGGAGAAGTGTTTGTTAGTTGTTATTAATAGTGAAGCAGCCAAGCTTGAGAGGTGGGCTCATTTGGTGGGTTGTGTGAGGTTCCTACGTTGCCTATGACCTGAGACCTCTAGGTCTCATCTGTAAATGATTTTGTTCATTTTGTGACCCTGAGATGAAAAATGAGAAAAGCGTCTGATCTCCTAAAAAAATTTTTTTAACTCTAGGGGTGGGAGGTTAATTTTACTCCAATCAGTTTTGGAGGCATTCTTGATTCCTCTCTCTCCTTTTTTGGAATTCAGTCTCTGGTTTCTTCCAAACTTGAGAGTATTATGAGCAACATTTCGTGGGACAGTGTTGAATATTGAGAAAGGAAGTGGATCTCACTTCGTGAGGAGGAAGGTCATGTCTAAGTTGTGTGACAAGGGTGTGTTAGGCATTGAGAACTTGACAAAAAGAAATGTCACCCTTCTAGCTAAACTGCTAAAGTGCTTTGGCGCTTCCCTCTAGTGTCTAATACTTTGGCATAAGATCGTTGTGAGTCAATTTGGGCGCCTCTCCATAGGTTGGGATACTTCCATTGTGTCTAGAGGCACTTCGAGAAGTTCATAGAGAACCATCTCACTTTGTCCACCTATTTTCAAAAAATTCATAAAATTCTCTTCAGTGGATCAAGAAGTTCATAGAGAGCCATCTCAATTTGTCTACCTATTTTCAAAAAATTCATAAAATTCTCTTCAGGACAAGTCTTGTATTCACTCTTGGAACCATCCAAAGTTGCTTCCCAGCCTATACAATCTTTCATTTCGAAAAGACGCTTTTATTAACTGTATTTTGTCTTGAATGTTGACCCCCTCCCTCCAAATCTCATAACTTCGATTTCAAGAGATCCTATATTATTCTGGGTCTTCAGATTTATCTTCAATTGTCTAGTTGTTGCATGATATCTGTCCTTACTCTAATTCCAGTTACTCTCGTACATGAATCCTAGATTCCTTGAGGTCCTTCTCATACAAGTCTTTCTATATCTCTTTGATTGCTCCTTTCCTCTTCTCATAAACTATATTTTAACTATTATACAATTTAGAATCCATGAACAGTACTATTCTAAATGTAGGAGGAAATTTGATAAATGGGAGCATATGTGATCTGTCTAGTCAACAGCATAGCAATATAATCAATATGCGTATCTGAAACTAATCAGAAAACCCATAAAATGAGACAAAAAGGAACCTGCAGATTGTTGGTTTTGATGTAAGACCACACACGCATGAAACAGCCCAGGCGAGAAATTTGGGACTGTCCCACAAACTCTCTGAGAGTTGAAGGAAGGTTGAAAAGATCAATCAAGTTGGCAAGCTTCTTTGGGTTATCTGTAATGGTCATCTTCATCCGCTGTGGCAGCATTTTTCTGTCGCCTAATCCTCCAACCGGAAAAATTGTTTACTCGGATCGACGCGGGTTTGGGCTTGAGCCACCGTCGTTCAACGCGCAACGGGTGGTGCTGTGGATCTGTGCCGTCGCAGGTCCGCTATGGGTCGTCGGACTCTGGTCGTCGCCACGCCGAGGGGAGCGCCAACGCCATCGTCGCTCGCCGCCGCTGGATTGGAGGTCACGCGTCGGCTCTGTCGTGGGCTGCAAATCTGGCGCTGTGGGAAAAGGAGGCTTAGGGGCTAGGGTTTTTGGAAGAGGAACAGATATGATGTCATGCTACCTCATAAAAAGAGAGGATTTTAGGGCTTTTCTTTAAATTCTCTTTTCTTTTCTTATTTTGAAAAATTCAATTAATCTCTCAAAAATTTGGGGACCCATATTGAAGATAGATTTGGCTTCTCGAAACTTAAGGAAAAAAGATAATTAAAGTAAATTTCTCAAACCTTACATTTAAGATTTAATTAAAAAGTAAATACTCTGTCCATGTTGTCATGGAAAAGGAAGTTAATTATGAAAAGTTAAGGGTGCATTTGGTTGGTAATAAAAAAACATAAATTTAAAAATTTAAGAGATTCAATAAAAATCTTGTATTGTTTATTTTCAGTATTTTTGTTGGGTAGCAAATTTTGTAATTGAATATCAATTTAAAACATTGTTCAAGGTATGCTTAGTAATATATTTGTAAACTATAAGTATTTACAAACTAAATATTTAGTTTAACGTAAACTTATATTAATTAATTTATTAATTTTTTTTATCAATTTTGTATAATTATTATTTTACAAGAGTATATAATTTAGAATTATTATATTTTACCTATTTTAATTTTAACGGACATAAAATGAGTTTATAATATTTATCAAAGTTTTTATCTTTTTAATGTAATTCTACATCTTACAAATTTTAAATTCTAAATCTGAAAACACTGAAAACATAAAAAAATCGTTTTCAGAAATTCTACTATAGAATCCCATTTTTAAAACGAATCTCCAAAATCCTGTGTATTCACTTGATCCATTTGATTTAGTAAATCTAAAAACAAAAAAACAGAATCCAAATTTCTAACCAAACAGACCCTAAAAAGTCTATTTCAAAACTTATATCATTGTAGAAGTTTGAAGAGAAATGGCGAGGTCGTTGATTTGCCTCAATGTTATCGAGGTCTTCTAAGTTCTAACTACGTTTCCAAAGGAAAAGCGGTTGTCTTTTAATTATACTAGTGAGCAACACGTATGTTGCACACGTTATTTATCATTTTATTACAGTATCTCTCTCAATTCCAATTTGACCTCTCTTTCTATATATTATCTCTTGTCACCATTTTAGATGGAGAAAAGAAATTGTTTATTTATTAACAATTTTCTATTTTACATAATGATCCTAACTGTATATAAGTACAAGTAAAAAAAGTAACAACCTAATAGATAAAACAAGCACACGTCACTAAGTATGCTAACTAATTAAAAATAATAAACATATATTTCAACATATTAGTGGTATATCAAATACTCTCAGAGTGTGGACAAAAAATCATTAAGATTTTGTTAGTTGTGATTTTTGTTTGTTTATGTTACGATTATTTGGTTACTCGTTAGATTGTAAATTAGCTAGTTTTGATTTTTTGGTTACTAATTAGATTGTAATTAGTTGGTCAGTATACTATTTTAAGTTGGCATCTTCTTGTATAATACATGCTATTTCATACTGAATGAAAGTACAGAATCAATTTTTTCTCACTTCTTCGGTTTTATTATGGTATTAGAGAGCTTTTAATTTTTTTTCACTTCTTTGTCGTTTCTGCATTTTCTTTCTTCATCATAGAGTCATGGTCGTCGATGATATTGTTACTCCGGTTGATCAGACTCCAGTTGTTCCTGACGTTCGAATTCTGAGTCCATCAAGTACGTCTTCTTCTTCCACCATTCTTGTTGCTCTAGAGGCTTACACCAACCCCTGTTATCTCCATCACAATGATAACACAGGTTTAGCTTTAGTCCGAACTTCTTACCGAGAATAACTACATGTCTTGGAGCAGATCTATGTTGATCGGTTTATCTGTGAAGAATAAACTCGACTTCATCGATGGCACTCTTCCATGACCCACTGGATCTCTTCTTTCAGCTTGGATCCTCTTCCATCTGTGAACAAAGGATTTTTCTCTCCTACAGGAAGAACAACAACGTTCAATTAATTCTTTTTCTTCACAAAATATGGCTCTTGCTGTGTATGCTACTCCCTCGACTATTTCTACTGGTTCAACTTCCACGCATGGCCCATGACGAGAGCGTCCTTATTGCACTCATTGTGGCTTACGAGGTCATATTGTGGACATATGTTACAAGCTTCATAGTTATCCTCCAAGTTATAAAACTTGGAATCAACGTCCTTCTCAATCATCATCAATTTCACATCCAGCTGTTGTGAATTCCGTTCTTGTTCAACCAGTCAATAATTTCACATCCAGATATGTTACAAGCTGTTGTGTGTCAGAACGAGGTTACTACTGCCATGAAAACTCCACTATTGATGATGCCTCTTGACCAACGTGTTTCACATGGTACTGAGTTAGCATCTTGTTGATGGATGTTAATCCCGAGCGAAAGCAGTAACACAATGTTCTTAGATTATCCTTTTGAAATTAAAAAACACTAACTAGAAAAGTAAAATTCTCCACACTTAAACCAAAGTGACCCAAGTGACACCTCCAGGGGATCTTCCGTACTATAACTTCAGTGAGGAACCGATTTGTGGGAACCGAGAGAGATTGAGAGCTTCCGAGAATTTTGAGAGAGAGTTTTCTCTTAGCAACCTGCAAAACAACTTCTATAGGTTTTATCCAAAAATGACGTTGGGAGTTATTTATGTCATAACTCCCCACACCCCTACTAAAATAAGTTGTATATTATTAAATTAATAATTAAAATCAATTAATTAATTTAATTAATAATTAGTATATTTAATTACCAATTATGAATCTAATTAATAATTAATTAATTAATCCAAATATTAATTAAATAGATAAATAATTAACAATTAATTTTTTAATTTTTAATTAAATATCACATATTTAATTAAAACCAATTTTTAATGTACATTTTATGCACATTAATTTTAACTTATAATTTTATTATGAATCCAATTTTTCTTTGTTGATGCAGAAATTTGACCTACGTGGATCTCACCAAATTCGCAAAATCGAACAGATGCCGAGGTCCTGTCAACCCTGGGTAATGCTCAACGTCGACCCTGGGTAGGTCGTGGAAGACCCAGGCCACTGACTCCTGGCTCATCCGTTTGTGTTTACTTCTCTCGAGCCCTCTTTTCCCTTCTGTCACTTGGTTGGCTCAATGCTAAAATTTCTATATTGAGAGTACTTGTCACTTGGTCGTTCCACGAATTGCTATTTTGTGGAATAGCCCCTATACCCTTTTGTCGTGGTTGACTGTCATTTCACGGGTTGACCTACTTAGCCACCATACCCTTTTATCGTAGTTAGCTGCAGTCAAGTTTCTTGAGCTCTGCTATACAGTTAGTTTTAACCGCTTAGATTTCGACCTTGGGATCCAACGTTTAGTTGGGCTAGCTGTACCACCCTTGGGTTTCTAACCTATTTTGCTTTTGCTTATGGTTTTATACCATAGAGTTTAGTCTAACAACCTTGGATTTCTAACCTATCTGGCTTTCGTCAATGGTTTTATACCATGAGTTTAGTTGACACCCTTGGGTTTCTAACCTATTTGGCTTCTGCCCATGGTTTTATACCCTAAGTTTAATCAATACCCTTGGGTTAGAACCTATTTTGGCTTTTTACCAAATGGTTTTATATCTTGGGTTTCGTTGAGTGGTTTGGCCCGCCTGCTTTCTGTTTTAACCTTGCAGGGCCTATACACATGCTTTTTTGGATACCCTTGGGATTCTTTTGATGATTTAGGCTTAATCTACTATTAATCTTACTTGGTTTCACTGACTGGCTTCTAGCTTATAGACTTTGTTCTAGATATGTCCCAGTTCGAGTTCCTTAACTAGCTTTTCGCTTAGAATAAAAAATAAATGCTCAAGTAATAAAGAACTAATTAAATCTCAAATGATAAAAGCTTATTCTAATTATAAACGAATAAGTATCTTTGGAAACATAATATTTGACTTTGATAAATATGCATTTACCAAAAAACCAGTCCTAAATTATGCGATCTACCAAATATGCAATTACCATAAAATTAAACCTAAACTTTCATAATCACTAGAATTTAAACCATAAACTTGCCATCATGTGAAGTAGAAACTCCATATTTTATTTAGTTGTTTTTCAAGGTAGTGTAGTAGCATTCTTGTGATACTTGTTCTTTTTTTATTCTTGGTTTTCTCTTTCTACTAGATTCTCATCCTATAGGTCCTCTTAACATTATCCTTATCTCTCTGGTGGGAAACTTTGTTGCTTTGGTTGTTGTTGGAAGTTACCTTGGAATCTTCAACAAATTCTTTGAGGTGACCTTTGCGGATGAGATCTTTCACTTTTTCCTTTAGATCATGACATTCTTGTGTTGGGTGGCCTCGACTCTAGCGAGTGAGGCAATATCTTCCTTTAAGATGGTGTTTCCATCTTTTCGAGCCATCTGGGTAGCTTCTCATCTCTTATCACGATTTGCTTGAGCGAGATTGTCATTGAGGTATACCTCTCCAAAGGTTCTTGTTGAAGCGAGTCACACATTCTTTGAGGCTCTTCGTTGATTTCTGTTTTATGGTAAGAAATTGGGCCACAAGTTGACTCTTATTTCGTCCTCCAAATGCCTTGGCCAATTCTTTGAAAAAGGAAATTGACTTTCTCCTCAATTGTCGAACTTGGACGTAGGGCGTGCCGATTAATGTGAATGAAAATACCCTGCACCTGATAGCATCTATCACTCTGTAGATGTCAATCCATTCTCTATATGCGTCCAGGTGGTCGATAGGATTTGTTGGCCGTCATATTGTCTGATAGCAGAGAATTTGAACTTAAAAGGGACTTTCTCTTCCACAAGCGGTGAATCCACTTGGTCAATTATCTTCGGAGGATCACATCTTCTATCTTTCCATTTTTTACTAAGCTCCTATGCTTTCTCTGCTTGCTCGTGTCGGCTATGTGACTTTTCTTTGTCGGGCACGATTTCTTGAGACCTGATCGATTTCAGGTTGCTCCTCCTATTGTGTGCTGCTGACTTTTGCTGTCGTGCAGTTATCGGATCTGGTCGACGGAAGAGACCTTGTTGATAGAAGAGATCTGGTCGGCTTA